AAACATAGAGAATAATAATACAACATTATAATTTAATACGTTGATTATTACATGATAATATTCAAATAATTATTAAATTATATATATATATATATATATATATATATAATATATATATATATATATATATATATATATAATTAAAGTTAAATGAGTTACGCGTTGAAAATGGATTGACAATCTTTACTTAACCCAACCTATTTAATTAAATGGGTTACACAGGTTGATCAATTTAAGTTTAATGGGTTGAAAATGTCAACCCAACCCGCTAATTTTAGGTTGGGTTCGGGTTGGGTTGGTAGATTGGATCGATTTTTACAATCTCTAGATGAAATGCATATGAATCTTCTAGCTTATTTAGCAGGGTGTTGGCATAATTTGAAAGGAGCAGACGTTGGGTTTGAATCTTTGCCCTTTCGTTTATATAAAAAACTCAATTTTTTATTGATAAAGAAATGTTGACGTGGCATGTCAGCCCCATATCATCACATATGTCGAGCTGGCAATGCCATGTGGCATGGTGATCGGCTGAAAAGGTTAAACTGAGCTAAACTGAAGGATTTTCTTGCTTTTTTGGGTTCTTTTATTAAAAAAATTATGACCTTTTTGAAACTTTTTAAAAAAATTTAGGATTTTCCTGGAGATTTCCCTCTACTTTCATAAACTTAAGAAATTATAATACCTTCCGATATGGTTGGCATGAACACGGTCGTGGTCAAGTGTAACATCCATAAAATTTCATAAAATTTAAATTTTTCAAAACAATCCTTTTTTCTATAGAAGTGTTTACAAAAAATGTTCCCAAAACATTATTTAAAAATCATAATCTCTTTCAACATGGTTTTCAAAACATTCACATTATCTAAGTTTTCCAAAAATCATGAGTTCAAAACACGAGGATGTGTACGGTCACGCCTTCACCTTGCCACAATCCACTGAAGTACTTGAAACCATAAACCAAAACTATAAGCACGAAACTTAGTGAGTTCCCCAAAAGTACCAACACCTAAACAAATAACATATACAAATAACAGCATGTAAACAAAGCCTTCAACATATCTAGATCGCCTCTTTGGGCATCCAACCTGTCTGGACAGCTCACAAAGCCTTTAGCATGTTTGTACCGCCTCACCGGGCCTACAGCCTGTGCGGACCATTCTCCGGGCCTTCGACCTGACTGGTTCGCCTCGCAGACCTTTAATCTATCCAGACCGTCGTGGGTCTATTAGCCTTCAGCACAAAGCAGGACCACCTCAACCCAACCACACACAGACATGTCGACATATACATAACAATTAACATATAATCATTCAATAAACAAACATAAAGATCATATAGATCACTAAGCATAACATCATCATATCTACCAGGATACAGATCTAACAGATTATAAAAACAAAGCAACATCCTATCTACCAAGATACTGATCTAACAGATCACCATAGTATGGACACATCCTATCTACCAAGATACCGATCTAATAAATTACTACATCATGGCAACATCCTATCTACTAGGATAACAATCTAAAAGATCGCTACAGTATACAAGCATACGATAAACTAGGATAACAATCCAAAAGGCTCGACAGTGGTGCCTTTGACCCATAAGCACAGTGAGGAAGACTTACCTCAAATGCAGAAGCTCCCCGAAATAAATCCCTAGGTGCTGCCCTGTCGGCTTCTCGAGCTATCAATACAAACAACACACCCAATTAGCAAGTGGGTCCCACGCTATAATCCATAATCCATTCTTGGGGTAAAATGACCATTTTACCCCTGACCTAACATATACCAAAACTGAGGCCCAAAACCAAAAGATACATAAGGCCTGCTAATGGCCCAATTTTTCCGAATTGTTCCCAAACCAACATGGGTGTTATCCTAAGACCATATTTTCCTTAAATCCAAATCCAATTATCATAAACACCCCACAGGACAAACTTGGTCAAAGACATACATCAAAAGTCATATTCAACGGTCCAAGTTGACCCAACTCGTCGAGTTGTCCTATAATTCATCGAGTTTCTCCATCAATTTGCATAGATCGGGAAAAACCAAGTCAGCTCGCCGACTTCCTCTATCAATCTGAAAATATCATGGAAACCGAGCCAACTTGCCGAGTTTATCCAAGAAACTCGCCGAGTTCGCCAAAAACCCACCTCTTAACACATTAAGCACTTAATCCATTAGGACATGACTCCAAAACATAGATCTGACTTCCTTGAGATGGAAAACCGCATAAAGTTGCCAACTTTACGTTCATGCATGTCTAAATGAAGCTCTTAAGCTTGGAATGGACTTAATAATTGACTTAATGCATGCATGACACCAAAATCCTCATAAAGCTTGCACCTTTAAGCTCAAGGGTACCAAAACCAACCCAAATCTAAAAGAACAACCCCTTAAATGACTTTACTCAATCATCATCCCCAAAACGAGACTAAAACACCACAAAACCAAAAATAAGGAGATCTAATCAAATATTAAGCAATGTTAGGACTTTATACTCAAAAAGTATTGGAAACGAAGCAAAGAACCCACATCTGAAAGCTCCTACATGAACCACCACTTTGCACCAAGCTTTTATTCCTTCAATGATATTCAAACACACCAAAACACACCCACAATGAGCTCACAACACACAAGGAGGCTCTAGGGTTTCGAGATTAGGGTTAGGGGCTATAGAGGCTGGAAATGAGGCCATCACCTAGGACTGAAGTTGTTTAAATAAAGTGCAATACCCTAAAATTAGGGTTTCCTTCCGAGTGGCTAACTCGCCGAGTTGAGGCTCCTCAACTCGCTGAATTGCCTCATTAAACTTCACAGTCATAACTTGAGGACAAGTTATGGAGTCTAATAAAAACATTAAAACATTATTTAACTAATACAATAATCAAATAATTCATAAAAGATACAATGAAACTCATATGAACAAGACAATTTAAATTAAACAAATTTCATGTAATTAGCCTAACCATATAAACTAATACAAAACATGAAGCTTTGACAATTATCTTTTAAATTGAATTAGTATGATCATTACCACATCAAAAACAAGTTTAGGGTAATGATCCTAGTCTAATTCCAACCTTAAAACTCGAAAATTTGCACTCTAACACTCCTATGGTGTACATGCAACCCTATATGCTTTGGATCTATGTTTTCTCTAATATACATGGAAACTTTCAAAATTCCAAAGCATCATCCTAACTAGCATACAATGGAGTATCTATACTACAAAATTATAGTTATATGACATACCTTTTAGTGTAATTAAAAACCCTGAAGCTTTAGAGCCTAGAACCAATATTGTGAATGCCTCAAATGGAGCCACAAATCACCACCAACAATTTGAAGAACTAAAGAGAGGTTATTTGCACACATTTTGCCTAGCACTGTTGAACATGCACTAGTAGTCGATTTCATGAAATAGAGGGCTTCTTATATCGTGTGGCTACATTAGGGTTACACCATAAAAACCCTAATGTACATGAATTTCCACATTCCTCATGATCCATGGGTTTAACCTCCATGGATTATCCATGGGTCACCACATCGGTTTAGCTGAACATAAGTAATCATGGATCATTAGCCTACTTTATAAGAATGATTGATTTACACAATCAATCCCCATATATTTAATTAGTCTCTTTTGATCACAAAATTAATTCCAAATGAATTCTTGATAAATACTAATTAAATAATATGATTTCG